GCTCAAAGCAGAGTACTTTCCAATATAAGCCAAATCCTGCATATTTTGCTTTTAAGAAATGCCACAGCAGATGCAAAACCAGTAGGATTCACACTGATGTTTTCTAGGAAAGAAGAAAATCTCAAAAAAAACCATAACCCATGTTTTAAAAGCAGCAGACAAAAGTTTCATTCTTGTACTGAATTAAACAGCATGTAAAACATTATGTTTCTACATTTAATTTATTGCTTTAGGATTTAAATTTTGCACCCACATCTTTTAATATGCACCATAAACTACCTTTTCACAATTTACCAGCTACATTTAGGCAATTTTCCCTCAACCCAATCCTCCGAACTGCCCTTCTCCACAGCACTCCAGTGAAAAGAAAACTTTCAGGGCAAGCAAAACTCCCCTCCCAGCAGAGGACTTGTTGCATTTGAAAGGCTGTTGATATCAGTATTGGGCAAGAAAAACCCAAGCAGCACGGGAAGAAACAGATGTAGAAACAGTATTCAGACATATTCTCAGAATATACAGCAAGGGTTCTCCATCTGCAGTGTTAAAAGCAATCAACATTGACTGGAAGTTGGATGGGGCAAACATTGACTGCAGTTTTGTATTAGGAGGTCCAAAGTGCTCAAAATGGTAAAAGCAAAAACTTCTTTAAGGTTGCACCATGGAAGTCCACATACAAACATTTTTGTGAGCCAGTTCAGTGGGGTTTGATCCAAGCTTGTTTTCTGAGATCTAAATATCCTCTGACAAGGCTTAACTGTGCAACTCTGATTGTACAAAATTCCTTAAATAAGCTAAAATGAGTTCTTACTACATGTACATACATACTAAAGTTCACTAATCAGAGGTCCTGGGACATCAGATAGACTGAGGTACTTATATGGACAAAAGTAGATCTCTATTACAATTTTAATAGCTACAATGGTTTGAAGGAAAAAGCCTTGCAAATACTATTTGAGTTATTCTATCAGACAGTGGAGAATTTTTTTGTTGTGTTAGCCATAAAAGCTACAGAACTTTTGCCAAAACACAGACCAAGGTTATCTAGCCAACAAAAAAAGCTTAGGAAGGAACATCTCTCTTCATATGGTGAAAGTATATGAAGTCATGAAGCCACACAAAACTATGCTTCTTTAAAGTTCATAAAGTCAGTATAATTTGACAGTCAATAGGCTCCTGCCAAGACAGAACCACTACTGGTTTCAACCGACACTCTCATTTACTAGGAGACTTGATGAGATAAACAGAAGCAAGTTCCTCACATTTTTCATATCTAGGTCTCACATGACCTTGTGAAAGTTCACCTGAGTATTGAAACAATCTGTATGACTGCTCTGGAATATGAGGGGAGCATTTCATAAGTGTGCTTGCAACCTTTGAGACTGAGATGCTCCACACTAATAATTGCAATTGGCTACTACCAACCTCCAGGATGGTGAAGGTTGGAGCTGATAAGAATATTTTTCTTCCCTTTTAATGAGATTTATTACACAAGAAACAACTTTTTACCATACAACACCAGATACATTATTGAGATTCAGCACAGAGTGAGAATCCCCACGTGATCCCCTAGAGAAAAACAGGAATGGAACCACTCAGCAGGAACACAGCTACTCAGCATTCAAGACACTCACAACTTCTGACACATACACAGTACAAATGGCAGCACTGGACTTTACAGAAGCTCCAAGTCAGTTATTTACCTTCACCAGCCACTCAGCTTGCATCAATCTGCTCCAGCATTTGTTAGCAATTCATCAAACATGACAAACAGGAACCTGACTATAAGGCAAAGAGAAAAGTTTCTACTTCTTACAATTCCTGAAATAGAGCCTCAGCAGTGGTCTCCACACTGGGCTGCCACATCTGTGCTCTGGGTCTTGTACACCCACAGCCCTGATCACAGTAAGGCAATGCTGAGTGGACACTTCCAGGAAAACCAGACCCATGATCTGTGTACAGCTCTCTCTGCCTCCTCACCCAATTCAGACTTGACTTTTTCTACAATCTTTCTCACCTGGATAAGGAAGGCAAAAGATGCCTTCCTCCCACTGAAATGAAAACACTTTTCTTTTTCAGTTGAAGTGTGCTATAAAAAGACCCAGCAGCACTGGAGTTTGACATTCAGCCTCATTTAAACTGAAATCTCTAAACAACCTACACTTTAGATATCAGTAAAATAAAAACAAAACTAAATTGCAAAAAATCCTTATTATTCAAACTCCAGTAACTTTTATAAAGCAGAAATACAAGTGTCACAAGTTGTTGCAGTTTATAAACTCAAAAGACTATAGAGATTGAAAGACCACTGAAATAATCTTAAATGACATTCAGAATTCTGCCAACACTATGTTTTTGCTGCAGAAATCCTAGGTTCATGCTCTTCAAGGTGGATTTCAAGTGCTAAGGAGCAAATAGCACTAACTCAGTTGGATAGTGAACTGTTTGCTGTGTCAAAGCTTTTTGCCAAACACATATATATAATTTTTCTTTTTGCTATATGGATAATCAACCCCAGATGGCAATTTACATAGGCAAAGCATAAAGGAATCCATGCACTGCTGGTGCTCTCAGCCTCAATCAGAGCAAGCACAGGCATTTGAGAATGTCACTGTTTATTTTTAATTGCTGTGTCCCTCCTTTGTGCAGGTTCAAGCGGTCAAAGATGTCGAAGTCCATTAGTAGAACTGGAAGGTGATGCCACTTCACTTGGTGAGAGGGTTCTTCAAATTTAAAAAAAGCAGCTAGTTTGTGACGTCCCTAAATGTACCAGCTGTCAATCTCAGTTACCACTGGGTCAGGGCAAAGAAAGGTCAGAAAGAGTCATAAACCACAATGTGTTGTGAAATGTGCTTCCTCCGTTACCTTGTACGCCTGAGAAAGGTTTGACCTTTTATAGGTATCCTAACCCAGCTCTGCATGATGCTGGCAGGGGTAAGTACAACACACAGCTCAAACTTACAAACATTGCTCCCTTTTAATGTGCCCTAGTTTCCATACCTGTGCAACATGAAGGTGAATGTCCTCAAGTTGCTAGTGCCAAAACACAAAACTGTGCCCACAGCTATTATGATCCCAAGACATGAACACACCTTGTATTTCACATACAGCAGTGGAAGGTTTAATTCATTAACAGCAACTGGAAAAATAACGAAAACTTTGAGGGAAGTAGTTAATGCCATAAGAGCCAAGTGATCTGGCTTGTCTGCCAAGTGACCTGTTCATCTGCTAAGTTGTCTGTCACTTCAGTGACTACTCTCCTAGTCACCTGGGAAGAAAGCCCACTAAAAAAAAGCCACACAAAGTCTTTTCCACTGTTGGAAAACAGACAAAGTCTATTTCCACTTTTAAATACCAACTCACAAGTTATTTACTCTATTTTTGTCATTTCTTCCTTCATATGGATTCTCAAAAAGCAGATTTACTCCTAAACACATTTCTTCAAAACATTCTTGGACTACAGATGAAAAGCAGAATAGTCACTTCCAGATATAATCTAGTGATGCATTCTTTCTTTGCAAGAAATAATTACTCTGCCCTGTCTCCCCCATCTCCTGGAGCACAAAATGACAGGAAGTTTGGCAAATGCTATGTCAAAAAGAAAGCAGTGAACTCGCTGTGCAGGGCCCTGTTTGGGCAGGAGCCATCTCCCACTCCCTGCACTCCTAACTACTTGGCCCTCTTTGCACCCCAAGCACAGGCAGGCCCAGGACTGAGAAAAGGACACAACAGCAAAGGAAAGAACGCTGCCAAGTGGAAACCAGGAGAAGCTGAAGCTAGAGCAACAACCCCAGGAATCATAATCTGTGCAGGAATTCAAAGCATAGCTCCCAAAATAGGCTGCATGCTGTAAATAAAAATATAGGCAGTGAGGAACTCGACTGGGGAAGCAGAAATGTCAGAGTACATATGGTACAAATCACTTCTATGCAAAGGGCAATAGCATACAAACTATTGTTTGTATGCCACAGGTATCACTGAAGAGGCTGGCCAGAAATGAATTGTCCACTATCAGCCAAATACCTCAGGTGAAATCAGAATGCCTCATGTAGTCCTTCACCTGTCCAAACAATACAGTCAAAATGAGAAAACAGCATGTTCACTCAATGAAATAGTAAGGCCCTTACAGTAAAATGACTTGAAGATAATACTGACAGCACCAAAACAGTCCCATCCTTGCTTGCTAGGCCAGAATTTGGCCTGCCCACAGACTGTAATCAGCTCGGTCCACTTTTATGTGGCAGCTGCAAAATACTCCTCAAGTCCTAATTCAGTTTGGGCAATTACTACTAAGGGAAAATCAAAGCAGTGATAATCAGCACCTGTGAAATAGATTTCACATGTTCCAAGCATAAAGCCACTTTGTTTTCTTTTAAAGGATAAATATATATTTTAAGGAAATTAAACAGTTACAACAGTTGAGCAGTTCAAAGGCCATTGGAAGGTCTCTTTGACTTTCTACAGGCTCTCTGAAGAGCCCAGCAGCAGCAAGCCACCTACTGCATCCCAGCAGTTCTCTCAGAACATGCTGACACAAATTAAAGCCTCAGCAAACAAAGAGAATGTACATCAAGCATTTCAATGCCCTCTTCTTGTCATTTCCTTTGCTTTCAGACATTTTTGGAAGCCTACCTATATGGACTCTTTTGCAAACCTTCTCACTGCAGCATATCTCAAATGAGAGTAAACTCCCTCAAACCTTGTTCAGTCCTTGGGTGCATCCCAGCTTGGAAACATGCCCACTTTGCTTCTCTGAATTTGAAAGCCTAACATGCTAATCTAGATCAGTCCTCTCTTCATCCAGCTAAACTACTGAGCAGGTAACTTTACAACTGCCTTATTTAAAAATCACTATGCCTCTTACTGTTATAAGCTGAGTTATAATAGAGTACAAAAATAAGAATTGAAAATAATTGAGTAATTTCAGACTGGATGAGAACACTCTCTTCTTTGTTGAGTGTCTCTGTCAGGAAAACCAGGGGGAATGAAAATGAGAGACTCACCTTCAGGGCAGGAATCTCCACATTGTCACCAAGGCTAACAGAGCCAGAAAGAATGGTCCCTGTCATCACTGTGCCTTGACCCTTGATAGAGAAACAGTGGTCAACTGCCATAAGGAAGTGTCCTGAGGGGTCTCTTGATGGCAGGTAAGCCTGAGACTTCAAGACCTGAAAAAAAAGATAAAAGCAGCACCATGCCTGGGTGAAAAGTCATGACAGCAACACAGCAGAAGGCAGGCAAGCAGATGATTGATTGAACAAGCTTGCAATTTTACTCATTTCAGGCATCTCCCAATGAGCTTAGAACTCACCAATGCCAAATTAACTGTGTGTGCCATAGGGGAGGTGCACACTTAGCAGCAGGAACAGTTTGATTTTCTGCCTTAGAAAGATTTGGTGTTGCACATTTAGCTTGGTTAGCAAAACCTCACTGACGATAAAGTTGCTGCCAAACTCAATATAAACACTGCAGCAAAGCAAAGAGGAAAAAAACTATGTGTGTCATCTCCCCCTTTTTCCTCCCTCTCTCAAAAGCGCAATTTTACAGTGCATTTTGCTACTTCAGCTTTTTTGGATTTTGTGAAAATGAACCTACACACAGATATTAGTGCTCCATAAAGCCCATCTCTGACTCCCTCCCAGAAAAACTGTAATACTGGGTTAAGTTTTCAAATTCAACTTCCCCTTCAGATTTTTGTTAGTGCTTCTTGAAGGGTCAATCCATTAGGAAAAACTACATAAGTACCATTTTCTAGAGAAATTCTGAGTTTAGTGGGTTGTTTTTTTTTTTTGACAAATACTAAGTTTCTTAAAATATATCAGCAGACAAAATATTTTAATTATAAAAAGGAAGTCACGTACTCAACAGTGCTTCAAAGGAACTGGTTCACTCCTTTCTCAAATCACTTTTGATATCTCTCTCTGTTATATCACCTGCAGGTACAACTGGCATTGCCTTTAACATCTGTTTTTAAGGTCAAAAACTGCAGTCCAAGCCCAGGTTGCAATGGCAGAACAATGGAGAGTCTCTTAGGAAGGACAGAAGGGATAATAGCTCCAAGTTCAATGGCAGGGCTCACACAGCATTTGCCAGCTCATCTAATATTAGGTTTCAGTTGACAAAACAGCTGCAATGAGAGTTTCCTTCAAAGGTTGTAACCCTGGAGAACATCCCAATAAATCTAACAGGAGCCAGATAAAGGCAGAATATATGCCAGATAAAGGCATATCTACTCAACTCGAGAAACTGCTGGGGGCAGACAGGGCCTGGCTAAGTCTGGTCTAAGGCCACACTACATCCCATCCCCAAGCCCATCCTGACTCACACAGCCTGGGAGGTGATGCAGCATTCAGTGCTCAGCAGCCTTGTGGAATATCCTGCCTTTAGACAAGCCTGGCTGCCCAGGGCCAGGCATCCCTAGATTTTTGAGTGATGCTGCACCCTAACTTCAGCAATTAATAAGTACTTTAAACCTGGCAGCATCCAAATCAGAATCTGACAAGTCTTCAAAGAATGATGCCTTTGTTTTGAGATTCTTTTCTGCTGTCTGATGCAGCAGTGGCATTTCTCCAGGGCAAAGATGCTCCTGTCCCTAAGCTAATGACAGAAAGGATGAAAAGTATATTGCAAGCTACAAACTGCTCTCAGCTATTTCAGTTGTCCTGCTCTTCACAGTATAAACATCATGCCATGTAACTAAGGGTTTTGAACATCTGAGAATGGATGTTTTCATGTTATTATTATGTTCTTCAGCATGTACCTCGATTAATTCAGAAATACCCTGTGGATTCTCAGACTCTGGGGCTTCTGGTCCACCAGGCTTTGCTGCAACAGCAACAATAGGACACCCTGAGAATCTGAAAGAGAGAGAAAGACTTTCACCATTAGACCACAGATCTTCTACACATGTCAATATAGAGACCAGGCTCATTTGAAGGCTAGGAAACTCCCTAAAATTCCAATTCATCTGCTCTTCTCCCACTGTGACTGACAATTTCTTCCTGAATTACCAGCAGATCAGCACTACTGAACTTCACTATGAAAGCTTCAGTCCTGTTGCACATTAGCTGCTGATTCAATTCTGTGACAGTCACATGCAAGATTCAGTTCATTTCAGAAGCAAACATCTGCTGTTACCCAGTCTTAATGCAGTGGTTTGCATCCAAAGTCACTTTACATGGAGACTAGCACATTTTTAACTTCCATTAAACAATTAAAATTCTAAAGTCATAACCTTCAAAACTGGAGCGAAATGCAAGATGCCTCATGATGCCTACCTGAGTCTGCAATATCTGTAGACAACAGGAAGATCTAAATCTACTGAAATCCATGCCTGCAAAAGTCACAAATCTCAAACACAAAAGGGTTCAGAGAGGAGCAGTACAGCCAGCTGACCTCAGTTTACCTTTTATGCTACAATCAGTTTTATTCTTCAAGTACTTAATTATTTTGGCCATCCTCTTGACACCCACCCCCCAGTGATTTTCTCACAAAAGGAAGCAAACTGGAGGGAAGAGATGGGGCTTTGCTAAAGAAATGTTAAGGTCTAGAAAGGGAGCTCACTCAGTGCTCCAGCTGTAATCAGGCACATGAGGTATTTTCTTTGTTTACATGCCATAAGCCTGAGGCATCTAAGGACAAAGGGTACTAAAAAAATGTGCACTGAAAATTCCTGTGATTAACCATAAAACTTTTTGAAATTTATTTTCATACAAGTATTTCAGAGCACTGTGTTGCAATAAACAAATTTATGTGTAACCAAATGCTTTACTCCTCTTCCCATACACCAGAACAAACTGGAGTAATAGTATAGTGCATTTGGAGGCACTTCTAAACATGATCCAGCCCTACTGAAACTCCATCAAACCAAATTTCTCCCGGAAGAATTTAGATCCTGCTGAGCAAAGCAAGAAGCTGATGTGCAAAAAATTTTTAAAAAACAAATTTCATTCATAGAGAAAATTTACTTTTAGTCTTGGTATCAATTCACAGAAAACCAAGTTTTGATTAGATAAATTCACAAATATCAAACTATTGAAATATACAACAGTTACCTTCCTCGGCCTTTTTTTTTTTTTTGGCCTTCCATACAATTTCCTGACAACATTACAATAATTTCCCCTGCATTGGTGGCAACATCTACTCTACAACTGCAACAGCCTTCAGCTTTGCTGGCTGCTATGGAATTCCACATGCATACCTATGTGTGTGGTGAAAATATTTCAACAAGTAAACTATTTGAAAGAAAATCAAAAACAAAACCCCACAATTGGCATTAGAGGCAATTGTCAAATGGTATCATATGTCCTGCTAAAAAGAATAGTTTAGGAATACATTTGGAGATTCAAAGTCAAGTGGGAAAAAGGCTGTTGAGAAACTCCACACGCCCCAGATACAATAGGACAGGCACATTGCAATCACACCCAGACTGTGCTTTCAAAGCACCATCAAGCACCAGACTGCACAGAATTTTGGTTCTCTCTCCTGTGTACTCTGAATCCTGTTCCTTAGATTCTTCAACTCAAAATGTGACCCAATAGTTATGTCCCCTTATATCCCTGAGCAAAGCAAAGATGTGCTACAACCACATCCAGCAGTTCTTCACCTGGATGTTCTGGCTTTGTATAATCCTATCCAAACTCCAAGCAGCTCTTTAAATCTAAAAGCTTAATTACAAGAAAACATTTCTCTACACATGATACTTGCAGATGTTAATTTGGAATTGCATCTGAGTTTCTGTAAATCTTTTCACTCTCTTCTCATCATTTTTGCTAGATATGTCAGTATGTTTAGAAGCACATTGGAAGAGAAATGTTGGTATTTTTGCCAAAACAAATTTTGCGACAAGTTATCTGCTAGTATTACTGTTCACTTACTTGGTATTTTCCAAGGTCTTCTGCATTTTCTTAGTCATCTTCTCAATGGCACTCTGTCTCTTCCCCTCTGGAAGGAGATCTATTTTGTTCAGGACTACCACCATCTTCTGGCAGGCAATTTGCCCAATTACCAAGCACTCTGCTGACTGTGTCTGCATCCCTTTTGTCACATCTATCACAAGCATCATTAAATCGATAATCTGGGCACCTGGAGGAGAACTCACAGTCAGTATTGCCACAGCATAAAAAGATTAAGGATCATTTTCTCAATTTGTTTCCATTTTAATTTGTCAACAAATGCCCAGAAAGACAAACAAAACACAAGTCAAAGTAAGCACTGAATTCCACAGCTCTTTTGAAATTAAGACCTTGGGAATTTAAGCTATTATAGGCTATCACTGAGTCATAAGAACCAGGGAAGAATGTGATAGTTGAAGTCTTAAGTTATCACTGCATTAAAAAACACTAAGAAAATTAAGCTTGTAGTAACACAGGCATGAAAGCTCTTTTGAAATTAAGACCTTGGGAATTTAAACTATCATAGGCTATCACTGAGTTATAAGAACTAGGGAAGAATGCGATAGTTCAAGTCTAAGGCTGTTATCACTGCATTAAAAAATACTAAGAAAATTAAGCTTGTAGCAACACAGGCATGAAGTTTGCCTCAATTAAAAATTATAATCTAAGCAGCCAAGCAAGAATCTAATACAGCCCAAGAAACACACAGCAACACTGCAGAGAGCTGCACACTCAGAGCAACCCCAAGCCTCAATTAAAAATTATAATCTAAGCAGCCAAGCAAGAATCTAATACAGCCCAAGAAACACACAGCTAACTGCAGAGAGCTGCACACTTAGAGCAACCCCAACAAAAGCCAACCAGGTACCCCATAAAAACACCCACAAGCCTCAGTCCCTACCTGCTTCCCACCATTTTTCTTTCCAAGCCTAAAATTTCATAAAAGTGAAAACCATGATCACCACCAGAGACAGGTTTATCCCAAGTCTAGAGAACTTCCTGAATCCCTCAGTGTTAGAAAAAGGCAATTTAAAAGGTGCAGTGTATTGCCATTCACTCCCAATTCAGATCCACACAATTTGAACAAGTAATTTCAAACACAGGAACAGATCTGATTCCTAGATCTCTTCGTGGAAAGCTTCCTAAATTTTAGGCCGACACTACCTATCATGCTTATGGATTATTTTTACTTTTCAAAGTATTGTTGTCATGAACCCTTAATCTTTCGATTGAAACAACCTGAATTTCATGGATTTAAATTATTTCAAGGAAGCTTTTGATCAACATTGGGCCTTCCACTAATTACATTCAGAATTTTCTTGTTTCATTTTGAGGTAACTGAAATACTCTGAATACCAAAGCAAAAAAGTGCAACAGACTCAAGTGTTGAGAAAATAAACATAAAAAACTAACAAAAAATTAAAGCTGAAGTACCAGAAAGTCATATGCCAAAAAAAGCACATTTTGAAAGATGATAAAAGCTAGAAATCATGTAAAATTACAGTTCTCTAACTTAAGTACTTTTAATATTGGTCTTAAGATCAGAAGAACAAGAAATCAATACAACTGTTCCTTGTTCCTCCACGCTGTCCAGCCTTTCCCTTGCCTTTTTTTACTTTTAAGACTTTTACAATGGGTACGACAACAGCTCCCCTTGTTCCCAGTTCCCATGAACTCAGGATAGGAAATCATTCCGAGGTTGAAGTGCATGGGTGAATGAGTGGGTGGGAACTACAAGAAAAAAAAAATTACGGCTACAAATGACTATTTCAACCTACCAAACCTTTCATCTTGTAATAATGAATGTTAAGCCCTTCAGAGAATTAGCTGGATAATTATGGTATTTCCAGTGCTCCTGCAGAATTTTCACCAATCATTTCAAGTATCTCTCCCTGACAAACCAAAGATGGGCTTTATATCTTCAAAAGTAGTTTCCCTTTTTATTGTCTCGGGAATTGTATTGATTTAGAGCTTGCTTAAATTTCAACACAAACATCATCAAGACTGTACAAAAGGCTCAGACTTTATACACCACTCAAGTCCAGACTTAAAGGTCAGAAACCAAGGGAAACAAACAGCATGAAAATAGTCTGAATGGGACAAAGTACTTAACAATCAGAATGGATCCATTTTTGTGAATGCATACAACAGGGCTGTTTTAAACCTAATACACATATTTTGTATTACACTGTTCTTCACAGCTGACATCCTCAAAAGGAATGGGAATAAATAATGAAAACCAAACCATCAAGTCCAATTCTTTATTCATACTATAAAAAGGACATTCTGGTAACACAACAATGCTGCAGCCTGAGCCTTACCAAACATTACTGTGACTATTAAAGCACAGTGATCCTCATGCTCCAGAACTAAGCCAAAGCTAAAAGATGCCCTGAAAAGGGCAGCTGAGAACATGCAGTATGTACAGTGTGGTATCTTTCCCTCCAAAAGAACACAAAATCTGCACTGAACTGTAATATATAGCTTCAGTAAAAGGAGTCACTTTACCCCTAAGCCAAAGCTAAAAGATCCAAACCTGGCCCTGAAAAGGGCAGCTGAGAAGATGCAGAATGTACAGTGTGATATCTTTCCCTCCAAAGTACACAAAATCTGCACTGAACTGTAATATGTAGTTTCAGTAAAAGGAATCACTTTACCTTGAAGCTCGAAATCAACTGCTTCAAATTCATTTGCTATACAGCAAATGCTTGCAATTGCTATACTTATGAATCTATTAGCAACACTTTAAAAGAGCCATAAAAATCACCAGCCTTGTTGCTAGAAGGTTGAGAATGTCTGCCTTGGGGCATTGCCTCATCTTCATAGAAGATGAACAAAGAGAAATAATTGTGCATTCCATGGAAAAACTCCAGAAACACCAGAAGATATTCCATGGCACTCCAGACAAAAAAATACTTCAAGTCAGGGAAAGCAGCAGCACACCCAAGTTCACAGACACTGTCAGCACAATTACTGTACCTCCTCCAAAGCCCCAGTACACCACATTGTACCTGGCCATAGCTCCTAAGAGCTGGCACAAGCTGGGACAGAGGGCACAGCAGGCAGAGCTGGCACACAGGCAGGGTGGGAAGCTGCTGCCCTCACAGGAGTCATGGAGCCAAGGCAAAGACCACGACAGCTCTGACAGAAATACCTGAACTGCGCTCTCACCGAGGCATGAGGAGGTTTTGTAATGTTTTTTATGTGTTTACTCATGCATATCAAGGCAGGAGTGCTCAGGTTTACAGGACCCTTGAGTATCAAGGTGGAAAAATAATGTAAAAACTTGGTTCCTCAACTTTCCTTTTTGAGCTGTTTAATAAACCATCTTTGACAATTTATCTTCTTCTCAATCCCCCATCTTCTCCTACACAGTTTTAAATTTTGGTTTATTCTAGAACCTATGTCCTTCATTGCCTATCAGCCATGCATAAAGTTCATTAAATACTAAAACAAAATCATCTAGAGAAGTATACTAGGATTCACCAATGTCACATTTAAAATCAGGAAAGTTGGCAAGATAAAAAAAGTGTAACCCTCTACCACAGAACATCTCATTCATTAAGTTTTCTCCTCATAACATATATAATATATAGCAGACTTAGAACATATTTAACTTCAAATTCACTACCATAAAGTTCATTAAATACTAAAACAAAATCATCTAGAGAAGTATACAAGGATTCACCAATGACACATTTAAAAGCAGGAAAGTTGGCAAGATAAACTGTAACCCTCTCCTAGCTACCACAGAACATCTCATTCATTAAATTTTCTCCTCATATCATATAAATGGTAATAGCAGACTTAGAATATGTTTAACTTCAAATTCACTAGTTAAATCATCTCTAGTAAACAATCAGCTTACTATCATATCAGAGTTCAATCAACAAAAGGACAATATTTCTGAATATTTTTTTACAGCAGAGTAAGATTTAACAAGGAACAGTGAAGCAAGGATGGACTATATCAGTACTCTCATGAATACAACCTCACTAGGAAAGATGTTTTAATTTGGACATAAAAATATTACAGATATACTATGTGGAGACTCAAAAAACACTAACAAGGATTTTAAAAGGTGAAAATATTACTCACACCTGCACTATCTGAAAACAACATATCAGCCATGGGGTCTTGCGCAAAATGGAACAGAAGAACTGAAAGAAGTCATAGGACAAAAAAAACCACTCCTCAAAACTCCTCAAAAAGGAGACAGAATATGGGCCTACACAGTTAAAAATAGTAATAGGGAAGAGATTATGGACTATTTGAATATTCTTCAAACCTTCAGAACAAGAAAATGGCTTGAAATTACTTTGAACAAAGCAGAGACACACGCAAAGGACAGGTCTGCATACAAGGAAGCACAGCAATCAAAAACATTTTATCTGCACTGAAGCAGGTCACATAGAATCAACGAAAAAGTTAAACTAAGATACTCAAATTATTTCTTTTACAGAGAAAACAGGGGTGTAACCTTTTATTTACCACTTCATCTATGAAAGACATGTTCAAGAACATTGAAAAGATAAATCCTGACATGTGATTCCTCACTTTGCCTGAAAATGAAAGATCAATTATTGGAGTACCCTTTGTGTGATGACACACAGCTCAGATGAAGCCCTGTAAAAAGCAAATGAAATAAACAAGTTGTCATCAGAAAACACAAGGGGGTGGAGAAAGATGGGAATTATACTTCAAAGATAAGCAGCTAAACCACAGCAAAAATAAAGTAGATAGTCTGAGTGAAGAAAAACAAACAAGAAAGATAAAACATGAACTGAGAGATTCTGGATGACAGCCAGATACAGGAAAAACACAAGACCAGCAGCACAGCATCACAAAGACTGCCAGTGCCAGCTAAACCTGGAGGCAGCAGCACTCATTTGTATCACAAAAGTGACAGGGAACACAAAACTCAGAAAATAAGAAAAATACCTTCAGAGACAAGATAAAGAAAAGGTCCAGCTACTGCTTTGAACACACAACCCATGCCAGCTTCTGAATTTTGAAGAGTATCTGATTATATAAAGTCATCAAGGAAGTAATTTATTACTCTTTACTCAGGAGATTAGTTGAATCACAGATGTCAGAGATTATGACACGTTTCCAAAGAGCAGAAGGAAGCAACTCAAGCTTCCCTAAAGTGCACTTGCAACATCATTCCTAGCGAGCTCTCACTCTTGG